CTGATTTACTGGTGGTCTCGAAACCCTACTCTGATGCCTTGTAGAAGTAGCCGAAATCGGCAAAATGCTTGAAATAAAAACTGAGAATCGAGTAGCCGGTACTGAACATCTTCTTTAAACGGAATGGAAGAGCGTGGCTTGTAAAGGCACAGTTTCAATTTGGTTTATTGACCAAGAAGTGTATGCACCCCAGGCTGCATGAGGTTATGAAGAACTAATAGTTTTATTTTCCCACAATGCCTAATGGATAGACCTGATACTGTTATTAAGCGCCACTTGGTCTTGCCTCAAAAACATGTAGTCCCCTCCAGACTGAATCGCAGTTCAGACCTCGCCTGGGTCTCATCAGTACCCGCAATGGAACTCGAACACGTGTTAGGCAGTGTTCGTATTACCACAACGCCCAACTACCATGGGTTCCAGTGGGATACAGGCCATATGTGAATTTGAAGGCAATTCAGGCCTCGCCCTGATCACATTTAAGCTGAGACCAAGCCTTAAACTGTTTTGTAGGAGGAGAAGCTGGGTTTCGAGGAATCCCTTAATAGATTGTTACTGGCGTACCTTTCATTTCGTTTGAGAAGGCGGATCGAAGGGATTCGTAGATTGGCCTCACCGGATACCGAAGGAGGGTTGTCTTGGACTTTTATTTGTTAAATTGTGCGAAGAGGACCTCGGCTCACAGTCCTATGGACCCGATGACTCCGTATGACGGACATCGTCAGAGCCAGTAACCATTATTTACGAAAAGATCAAAAAAATACACTAAACCAAGAAAGGTGGTCAGCTGAGATCCTACCTAATTCTTACACCTCACTTTGCGATCTTAATGAGATATTCCATGATTTGGTTGGCTGTTTTATGCTTGTAGATACGAAGAAAAACTGGGTTTCGATGAATCTTCTGAGATAACATTGTTTGGGGGACTTTCATTTCGTATCAAAATGCATGAAGAAGAGATTCGTTGTTCGATCTCACCAGAAAAGGAAGGATGAATCTCTTTGCTCTCTGTCCTTCTCTCTCTCTCATTATATTTATAAGCCAGCGCTAGTTCTTACTTAGTTCCCTACATTCGTTCCTCGTATTCATCATATTATTTGTTTTATTAATTTCAATTAACTCTCCGACCTTCCGTTTAGCTGTGAAGTCCCCATATCCGGCAAAAGGTTAGGATTCTGACCACTCTATCTGGTGTCCTGTAGTGACCACATGTTCAACTACTTCCAATTTTTAAATCCATAAACCTTTGCAGGTGGTTCAGTGTTCCTATAGTCTCTTATGTATGCGTCGACAAGTCTCCCCCACATAAACTCTACCACATGAGCACAAAACTTATAACAACCTGATCTGCAGAGGGC